TGTGTGCCTTCAACCCCAGATAAAATCTATTGTTAGTCATTTTATTATAAGCAATTTATATAAAAATGAATTGCTAGTATTTTTACTGTTAGAATGTATTTTTATGCTTTCATAGTGTTTTGGTCTTGTTTGGGGGTTCACCATTTACCCATAGCTGGGACCCTAAAAGGAGCTACTACTACAGGTCAAGATGGATAAGGAAACAGCAGCAATTAAGATTCATCCAATATAGTGCTTCATTGATCAGCATGTCATACAATGTAGCCCTTCATAGATCTGGAGGTCCATGCAATGTAGAAATTGATTGATAAACAGGTTCATGCAATGTAGCCCTTCATTCATCAGCAGCTCCATACAATGTTGTCCTTCATTCATTAGACGGTCCATAAAATGTAGCTCTTCATTGATTAGAAAGTCCACACAATGTAGCCCTTCATTCATCAGCAGGTCCATACAACTTGTCCAATAATCTATAATAATCGTATGCATTTGTGTTGACTCAACGGGATCTATATTTTCCCTGTCTACAATAATACATGCCCATCATCTTGTTATTGGATAACAATGAAAGACGCAATCTCTAACTCAGCAAGTTCATGCAATGTTGGTTGATCTCGTTTAGCAGCGCTTCGAACTCTATTGGTTAATTTATATAAAAATGAATTGCTAGTATTTTAACTGTAAGAAAGTATTTTTATACTTATACTTTTTTTTTTAGTATCTTTATACTTATACTTAGACTTGTTATTGATCAACTGACCCATGCAATGTAGCCCTTCATTTATCAGCGGGTCCATACAATCTAGCTCTTTATTAATCAGCAGGTACATACAATGTATTCCTTCATTGATCAGCTGGTCCACAAAATGTATCTCTTTTTTATCAGCAGGTTCATGCAATAAGGCCCTTCATTGATCAAGTGGTTCATACAAAGTAACCCTTCATTGATCAGCAGGTCCATACAATGTAGCTCTTTATTGATCAGCAGGTTCATGCAATGTAGCCCTTTATTGATCAGGTGTTCCATGCAATGTAGCCCTTCATTGATCAGAAGGTCCATACAATGCAGTCCTTAATTCATTAGAATGTCCATACAATGTAGCTCTTCATTGATCAGAAGGTCCACACAATTTTGTCCATCATTCATCAGCATGTTCATGCAATGTAGCCACTCATTAATTAGCAGGTCCATGTAATTTGGCCCTAAATTGATCAGGAGGTCCATGTAATGTAGCCCTACTTTCATCAGCAGGGTCAAGCAATGTAGCCATTCATTAATCAGAAAATTCATGCATTGTAGACCTTCATCCATCAGCAGGTTCATATAATATAGCCCTTCATTAATCAGCAGGTTCATATAATGTAGCCCTTCATTGATCACCAGGTGCATAGAATGTAGCCATACAGTGATCAGCAAGTTCATAAAATGTAGCCTTTCATTGATCTGCAGGTTCACACAATGTAGCACTTCAATCATCAGCAGGTCCATACAATGTTGTCCTTCATTCATCAGCAAGTTCATGCAATGTAGCCATTCATAGATTAGCAGGTCCATTTAATGTATCCCGAAATTGATCAGCAGGTCCATGTAATTAGCCCTACATTCATCAGCAGGTTCATGCAATGTAGCCCTTCATTAATCAGAAAGTTCATGCATTGTAGTCCTTCATTGATCAGCAGGTTCATACAATGTAGCCCTACATTGATCATTATGTTCATACAATGTAACATTTCATTCATCAGCGGGTTCATAAAATGTAGTTTTTACTGGATTAGAAGGTCCATACAATGTAGCCTTTCATTCATCAGCAGGTCCATACAATGTAGCCCTTTATTGATCAACAGGTCCATACAATGTTGTCCTTCATTCATCAGGAGATTCATGCAATGTAGCCCTTCATTGATCAGCAGGTCCATAAAATGTACCTCTTCATTGATTAGATGGTCCATATAATGTAGCCCTTCATTCATCAGCAGGTCCATACATTGTAGCCCAAAATTTATCGGCAAGTCCATGTAATGTAGCCCTTCATTCATCAGCAGGTCCATACATTGTAGCGTTTATCGATCCGCAGGCTCATGCAATGTAGCACTTTACAGATCAGCAGGTCCATACAATGTTGCCCTTCATTTATCGGCTGGTTCTTACAATGTAGGTCTTTATTGCTCAGCAGGTTCATGCAATATAGCCCTTTACGGATCAGCAGGTCCATACAATGTGGCCCTTCATTGACCAGCAGCTCCGTACAATGTAGCCCTGATTGATCAGTAGGTTCATGCAATGTAGCTGTTTATTGATCAGCAGACTTTTTAAATCTACTTTGATTAAAAATTACAGCTAAGTTTTCATCTACTTCTTCACCCAACTTAAATGTTTTTCATTGTTATCTTTAAATAAAGGTGGCAGTTTGTTTCCACGTCTTTAGCCAATATCTGTAATATTCTACATCTTTTCTCTCTGCGTCTGCAACACTAAGTTATTTAAATATTTTCTTGCTGG